ATTTTTTTTTTTTTTTTGCAATTTCTATTTACAATATTTTTTTTTTTTTTCGAGCTTTAGCCCACCTGCATTACCCGGTGATCAGTACGGGGTATGGTGATGATAATAGGGCACGTATTAACTCGCAGACATTATATTCTTAATCGACTATCGCGCCAAAAGTATTATCTGCATTCCAACGGGTTTCAGACTGTTACTTTTTCTTTTTTGTATTTATATTTTACAAAAAAGAAAAGGCCAGTCAAAAAAGAATCGGTCAGTCAAATAGGAACCTGTCATTTCGCTTCTACCGTCATTGCCAGTCCATCTCCTGCTCTGCCATTTTCTTTTTTATTCTTATTGAAATTGTTATCCTTGTCCGCATCTACCTTCTTCTTGCGTGGCTCCACTGTCTTTTTGTACCCTTACTCTGCTGCTGTACTTTTCTTTTCTTTTCTATATAACTAACCAACTAGTCTCCAGGTATAAAAAAAGAAAGAAAAATAAAACACCACCAAAGAAGACAAAAAAGAAAAGAAACCAGGAGCAAGATGCGTGGCCCAGCTCGTCCCACTCGTTTGGCTTTGCAGCTGGCTTCATATTCCTGCTGCTGGCGTTGCTAGATCTACAAACTCAAACTTACGAGATTATAGTCGTAGGATGGAGGACTCTCGGTATATACTTACTTGCATCTGCCCCGGCCCACGCTTGGTCCTTGCTGATAACGCCCACACTGGCAGCTATATCGCATTTTCCCCGTTCGTATTCCATGGGTTGCTTGTTGTTGGCTCTCTCCTAGCCGTAAGCTGCTGCTGGCTTGTCTCCCGTGGTTAAGTGATTTTTGTTTTTGATACCACAAGGGGAACAGCGCAGCCTAACGCAGGCATATGGGTCATTCCCGCCACCCCTCTCCCTGCGATTGCAATTATTCTGTGACCACAGGCCAGCAGGAAAGAGTGACAGTAGTTACCGAAAGTAGTTCTGGTATGGTCAACTGCAGCTGCAAAGTTTCTTACTTTTTTCTTGCCTGAAGCCCGCAGGTGGTGAGGCCCAAACATTGCGGCTCGAGGCCCATGGATAATAAATACATCACCCAACTATGACCGCCAGCCGACAGGAGGAGTAAGAGAAAGAAGGCGACGTATATGAAGTAACAAACGAACGAACGAACGAACGAACGAACGAGTGGCTCTGGTGGTTACGGGGCTCGAAAGGTGCGAGTTCCACCAAGCTACTACCCGTGCTCACCACCCTCCTTTGAGGCACAACTCCGTTTTTCAAGACAGAATGCATGCTTAACCGATCTGGAGAACGGGGAAGAAGCAACAGACAAACCGACCAGGGAAAGAAAAGAACCGGTGTGGGCGGCATTGGTTCCGGTAAGCTGAAGCGGAGAGTCTTGAGCTAGCAGGTGAGGCATTGCGTATAAATTTACCACAACTGACTAGTTTATCATCATATCGGGATCGATCCCGTCAGGAGGAAAGGGAGGCCCCCTTTGCCTCTCGCGATATAGGTGTATTGCATGCACGTATATACATCTTACACCGGGCTCAAAACGAAGACTCCAAAAGCAAACCCGAAGGTGGAAATTAGCCGGGCATCGACTTATCAAAAAGCAAGGCAACCGCTCTGCCGGCTGACGAGGATGGGAATTCTCCGGGGGACCGCACTCCTTCAAGAAGCATATGTAGCAGGCGGGATGGGATAGCTACCTATCTCACATAACAGCAGCTAGCTAGTTCGAAGATGGGATATCCTGTTTCGACTATCAGGATTAATTATATGAACAGACTCGCTTCAAGAGGCATTTCCACCAATAAACCGCGAGGTCAGCCTGGTTACCGGGAACATGGATATTTTGCCTCCCTTTCCCCCCCCCTCTAGCTCTACCGTTGCTCTGCTCCGAGCGTAGAGATAAGTGACTATATATACACACAGTTAAGTACAGGTAGTCGGAGGATGCCTGGCGACAAACGAAGGCCATATATCTCTTGCAACTCGCTAGTCTGACGGGCGTGCTCCGTAACTAAGGGGGGTGAACAATGAGGAACGAACCCATGTGGACGGCATGGCTTTTAAAAAAAAACCGTTATGATTTCAACTTTTCGACGTGACCCTGACCCCCTTGCGCCCTTAGGATCGAAAAAAGGGCTTACGGACTACCTTTCCGGTACCCGGCGAACTCTGCTTGGGCGCCAGGAATGGCCAAGTACTGTGAGGGTCACGATGCCAGCAGACACCGTTGGCCCCTGAACCATGCCGATACAAAGCTCTTTTCCTTCTTCCTGTCCGTCTGACTGGCGCTTTGTATCACGATTGGGTTTCCGTTCCCTCTCGAGTCGTGTCCGTTTAGACATACAGGCTTACAGAAGTTACGTCGATGACATCAGTGGGTGCATTTGCTATAACTAAGCCTTCGCCGTATTCCTTTTTCCTACCTTTCCCCGGCTAGTTCGTTCGCTGGGTTTTAACTCGCATGCTTTTTATGGAGCAGCAGCAGTTCTATCGGTCGGTAGTTCGATCTCTGTCGACTCAGCCGGCTTTCTGTAGAACTGCCGTTGGAACAAGCAAAAAGAAAAGCGGCAAGAAGAACAGTCGGTGGTCGTGCCCGATAGCCTATGTATGGGTATGGATATCGACAGTCGAGCAAGGAGGACATGCGGCTGGAAGCGTACCCTGTCAAGCAGACTGCTTATCTCTCGATGACCAGCATCTTTATACGTCGAGGTAACTTCGCTTACGACCCGGTGAAGGGTTTCCTGGAGTCTCCATGGCCTCAGGGGGGAGGAGAGCGTCAAAAGGGCATCCACGAGTTTGCAGAGTTCATGGGATTTACTATATACTTATACTCATATCTACTCCGTACGGAGTACTGCTCTCTGGATATATCTACGACAGGCTCCAAGCTGATACAAAGGAAACATCCAGCTAAACAACTGGCTAATTGTGATGTGTTCCAAACACAGAAGTATGCTCCGGCATTGAGATCCCTGGACCACAGCGTCTGTAATTATTGAACCCAGGGTTTCTTTTTCCAGCCCGCATTCAACTATACATACTCCAAGAAAGAAGAAGGGGGGAAAAGCAACGGGGCCATGAGGGAAAAAGAAAGAATGAAAGCTTTAAGTGGGAAAAGGGAGACTTGCAAATGCTTAATATTATGCTTCCTGCCGGAGACTGCATCCTCTCTTCCCCGAGCAAATTACGCGAGCCAATCCACATCTGCGCGGACGAACTGGCTTTAACTCAGTGTTTGGACTGTGGGGAAGAGAAGAGGACGGCCCTGCTGGTCGGTTTGTGATGCTCCGTTAGTTCGAGGTGATGTTGATGATACGGAGCTTGCGTGGAAGCCGTTCCAATCGTCTTCACTCGACGAGGCGTCTCCAACTTCACACTAGTTAAAACAGCTGGCCAACTTGCTAGCTCGTGTGCTAAACCACCAGGGACAACTCCTCTCTCTTCCCCAGAATCAGGGAGAGATCGCGATCGGCTTGCGTTAGCCCCATGGCGATGACGCTGTTATGCAGAGACTCACCCTCCCAGCGAGTCAGCCCAGTTGCAGATGAAATTGTACTCCGTCCCAGCCAGAGAAATGGTAGATACACATACGAGCATGCATACACCCAGATTTCCAGCCTGTGGACATACATAAAAGGCATCACACAACAGCAGCGTTCATGCATGCATCTCCTTGAGCCACCGACGGTCTCCTCTGGGTCATGCCCCTGTCCATGTCCCGTCTTGGATGTAGGATGAGGGTTGTCATCCTGACGTCAACCTCGCACACACTACTACCATCTTGCTCTATATATATATATATATATATACTTACACATGGACGGGTATATCTATGTCAAGAGTGATCATGCGGTGAAGAATTAGGTTGTTCAGGTGTTAAGGTTAAATTAAAGTGGAAGATGAACCAAGGTCCATAAGAAGGCTAAAAGAGACGGGAAGAGAGAGCGAGGGAATGTTGATAGTTCCAGGATAAGGCAGAAGCAGAGGCAGTGAGGCATGAGGCAGGCAGGCAGGCAGGCAGGCAGAGGGAAGACCCGGCAGTTCTTCGTGGCCATGCCGTCCTGTCCAGCTACGTGAGTTTAAATCATGCTGGCTTCTCGTGCTCGTATTGACGTCTATCACGGACACCTTGCTTATTCTCGAGAGAGTTGCGAGATGGAAGACAGGCTGGCAGACAGACAGGCAGGGCAGGCAGGGCAGGCAGGGCAAGGCAGGCCAGAAGATTTCCGAGAGAAACCCGAAAGCTCTCTGGGCCCTTCGACAGTCACGCTGTGCTGCTGCTTTTCTTTTCTCCTTCCCCTATCCCTAACAACTGGCTCCAAACAACCAGACACGACACCAGCCAGATGACGACGAAGATCCCGTCCCCTACATATGTAACAACTATTCAGTTTCTGACTGCAGAGGGACATCAAGAGCACCAAGAGGCTGCCCATCCATCCCGTCCATCGCCATCCACAATATCCCTCCGACTCAGCACCTCTCCCACTTGGCGCATGCACCTGCGTCTCCACAGGTTCTTCGCCCTGCTCTTCCCAACATCTGGGAGAGTTTTCGGAAGAAAACTGTGAAATTTCTCTTCCCTGGGATTGAACCTTATAGCTAACTAACGACCTGCCTCTCTGTCTGGCTGGGCTGGCTTGCTTGGTCTCCTTTTCGCGCTGCCCTCATCCTCGTCCGCCCTCGCTCGGGTCCATCCGTTCGTCTTTCTCGTATGTATATACTTCCGTATGAGCGGGTGAAGGACGATATTTTTGGATCCTTACAGCCAAGCCTCCGCTCACGAGTACTAAGTGTAGCCATATGTATACTTAATACTGGCTTCATGGACCAAGAGACGACGAGAGGCCTGTCGATGGCCAAGTGCCCAATCCTTGACGGACAAGGACGGACCCCCCCCCCCCCCCCCTTCTTTGCCTGAAAGGGGGACGAGAAATGTGAGCAATGTCATGCAGATAGCCGAAGCCCTAGAGCGTTCATTGGAGGATATACTGTCCCAAAGGGTCGCGGACAACCGAACTGTCGGGTTCTTACCATCGTCGACGATAATTGTGTGACAAGACGCTGTCAGCTTTTGTGTAAGTGAAATTGCGGCACAGTCTGAGTCTGTGTATGTGTGTGGGAGGAGTTGAGCTGCTCGACTTGCGACCCAACACTCCAACACTCCATGCAGCCGCCTCTATACTTGTCACACCGGCTACTTCGCCACTATGGATCGTGCCACAGATGACAGCCGTTGGCTCTACGGAATAAGTATATATACATCTAACCCACTATCGGACAGGTGTAACGACTATCCGCAACTGTCTGAATAAGATTATGATGTGTCCGGTCTACTGGCATCCTTCGACCCAAGGAAGGGGACTGTCTGCATCCCTCCTGGTCATCCAACAGCCTGTCTTTCGGGATTCCAACCCCTGAACAAGAGAAAGAAAAGGGCCGCAGACAAAAACCTAATGGGCGGTGAGAAAAGGGCTTTCCCTTGCGTACCAACAGCTTCTAGATTAACTGAGTGTGCCTTGCTAGGTCAGAGGAGAGGCTGGGGAATTGGTGTCATGCAAAAGGACGAGGGGGAAGAAACCATCACTTACGCCGTCTTATACATCTCCATGCATGAGACGAGTTTAACGAACCTGTCATGAAAGAAAAGATAATAATAAGAATAGCAGAAGCCAAAACATTACAAAAAGAAAAAGAAACAAGATATCAGGAATCCGGTACGCTGGACGAAGAACGGATTTATACGATGCACAACTTCCCCCTCTCTCATGGGCGGCCCAAGGCTCTGGTTAATCTAAATCCCGACAACTACCAGAAACAACCCCAGATTGCGTATCCGGAGAATGGGAGCAAAATAAAAAGGCTATGTGTGTAGGTAACTTCTGGAGGTACTTCTCCTCGATAAGAAAGTACCGCTGTCTCCCTTCGTCCCAGTGGAAGTATTATTAATTGAAAACCCCTGTCCTTTATAAGCCGGCCAAGTCTCACCAATCGTAGCAACATTCCAAAGCCCGGGGCGTCAGGGGCCATAGCAGAGATTGTATATGCCTCTATGTCTGGGCTGAAGGAGAAGAATCCATAAGCCCAGGATGCGCGCATCAGTATGTACATCCGTCCGCCAAAGATGCCTGCTGGGAGGGTCCCTTCAGCTGGTCCAAACAACCAAAACGGGGTTGTTTTGTTTTAATTCTCCCACAGAAACGAGGTATTATTATTAAACTCCGTCTCTTGACTTTCCCTTCTCTCTTCCTTGTCTTTTATTCTTGTTTGTTTTTGGAGTTAACTTCGTGGGAAAACGTCTTATCTATCCTGCAAGGCTAACGGTTTCAGTAGCCGGGACGAACCTAGGGGGTGTTGAGGGTGAACCACGGTCAAGCTGGCTTAATTACTATTATTATGTCTGGCCACCCCTTCTCGAACATGGCCAGAGAAACCCAATCGACGCCTCAAAACTAGTCATGCGGGCCCCAAGAGCGGATAGTTTCGCATGAAGCTGAAGAGAGAGGGTGACATGTCCGTCGTTTAGGTGAGAGCCCGGTATACTCCGTACATATAGTAGTATATCGACAGTAGTGTTCTCCGTATTCCATAAGGAATATGAGAATCTGATCTTCCTCCCGTTCTCCTCTCCAGCAAGGCCACCTGTTCGTCGCAGAAGTGCTCCGTTAAAACGGAGTCGACTCCTTGCCCGTCCCATCCCAGCTCCTGGTCCATAAGTAGTACAAATCTGCTCTGTCAACATCCGACACCCCTGAACGCCAGCATATAAACCCCAGCCATTATATTCTAACCAGGTTAATGCGCTGCGCAATATTTCTGCGGATCTCAAATTGCGTGATTGAAGATAAAATAGCCTGATCCGATCCAGACTTCTGGGAAGCCGTCCCGGCGATGTCTAGCCCCTGGCCCGGCATATAGGACGCTTAATATAGCCATGGTCTGGCAGGTGTGAATATATGTCAAACCCCCGGTCAAAACACAGTTCCGCGGCAGCCCATCACCATGCTTTGCAGGGAGCGGCCCATAAAACTTGGTAGCAAGAGAACAACGGGTGGAAGGGTCCTGTATTACGTTGTAACTCACGATGCCTGGTGCCATGCCATGTTGTTCCCCTTTTCACAAGGTTTATCTTCAGCATGGGATCGATGTCAGTCGTTAATCAAAGGTGCCAGAGAAGGCGCCTCTTTTCTTAGACTCGAGAATCATCCCTCTCCGTGCATTTGAAGATTCCAATTCGAACTAGACATGCTAGCAGGCGGTATTCGAAGAAGAGGCCGCCCCTCCCTGACCCCAGATGATTTGCGACTGACAAAAGCTATCCCTGAACGACTTCCACACTCCCCGGAGATTAAAATATTCGTACCTGATTTCTACAGGCTAGATCTTCAAGAAAAGGCGACCTCCAATCCCACCGGCTAACTTGAAGTAACCCCCCTACTCTCTCTGCGAGGTAGTCTCCCCATATACATGGAAGCCATGAAAGCCACCGCAAAAGGATCTTCCGGCTTCCTCGTCTCTCGAAATTCCTTGCCAGCCAATGGAAGTGCCTACAATATCTGCTGTCCGTCTTCCTTGACAGATAGTCAACTGTGCTTCCATAACTTTCATTTTTGCATCTCTCTCTGCTTGCCCGGTTGTCTATCACCCACTAAATCCCAACCCCAGTCGGTGATGCCTTGCCCAGGTCCAGGTTTGAGCGGGATGGAGCGAGCCCGTCTACGCGGAACGCATAATATATTGGTGACAGCAAGAAAGAAAATGTCTTCTTTTCCTTTCTGATTGCTGCATGTTTATCCCGGATCGTTTATTCCCACTCCTTGTTTCGTCCTTGACTGTTCACGTTCTGCTTTGTGCTCTGGAGTTAAGATTTTCCCCTCAAGTTCGGTAGCTGTGATCTATGACTCTATCGCGACCATATTATTACTTCGTTGCGACTTGATATTATAGTTATAGCAGATCATAATTGAGTATTAGAACACAAACAGACGAACGAGATCGCCTGAGGAAGATGGATTTGACGAGTGAGGGTAACCTACCTACTTGGCCTGAAGAAATGCCATTACCTGCGCGTCATCAGCCAGCGCCTCTTCGGTACGATCCTAATTAGGCGAAACTGTATACATTGAGCAAGATCTGATTTGATTGAGCCGGTAAACACTCCTTGAGGGGTAAATCCTGACTCTGGCCGGATGAATATCCAAAAACAGGTGCCTCTCGCTGATTTTTACCGTAAGCTGTACAATGTGGCGCCAATCCTAGGCCGACTTGCGCTGATATTTGAAA